TTACAATTAAGATATGCATTGCTAGAGGTTTTAGATGGTTCTGTACTGAGAAGTTGATTCTCTCCTTCCAAGTTCTCTTGGGTTCAATAAAATCCGTCTGATTCCTGCACTGAATTGTTGATTACAAAGAGGAAGTCAAGCGACATTTTGTTCTCCTGCATTTTATTAATATTTGAACGGAAACAATAAAATCTCCATGACTCAGTTGTTTAACATCAGAAACCCTTATTTTATCCATGCAGGTGAAATGTGTAAGCTGAGGTTTTCATACATGTGGTTTTGAATGTTTAATTAGACGAATGCAAAGACAATCCCACATGCTCTTATTTTAAGTTATCAGAGCATGTGTGCTCTCACTAGAGAGAGGAGGGAGAAAGCATCCTCTGATGGGCATGGTCATGCCTCAGTCCCTTCTCCACTTCCCCATCCTGCTGGGATTTTTGGAAAACGGGGGTTGGGGGAGGGAGGGGGAGGTGTGTGTTTAAATCTGCCAGGGCTGGGATTTGAACTATAGTCAGCCATGTGGGATCCAGCTTCTTTAACCTCTCGGGCTGCGTCCTGCCTGGCTCTCCTTTTAGAGGATGAAATGGTCTGGTCATAAGCTGGCTGTGTGTAACAGCTCCCCTCTCACTGTCACAGACCCTGTGGGATCCATTTGAATTCCATGGCAGTAAGGAAACTTAAAGGTAGGCCAATGTGAGGTGTGTGTTTATATCTGCCAGGGCTGGGATTTGAACTATAGTCAGCCATGTGGGATCCAGCTTCTTTAACCTCTCGGGCTGCGTCCTGCCTGGCTCTCCTTTTAGAGGATGAAATGGTCTGGTCATAAGCTGGCTGTGTGTAACAGCTCCCCTCTCACTGTCACAGACCCTGTGGGATCCATTTGAATTCCATGGCAGTAAGGAAACTTAAAGGTAGGCCAATGTTAATCAGCCAAGAAACTATCCATTTGTTGCCCACTTTAGATGGGAGGAATACTTTAGATGCCAGAGGAGGAGGGATGGTAATGTCTATCAGGGAATCAATGGAGGTATTAAAATAAGCTACTGGGGCTGGGTTAGCAGGCAGCAAGCCTGGTATTACTGAACATTGCCTGAGAAGACTGCTGCTTGCAAAGTCTTCCAACCATGAAGTGAGGCCCGCAGCTGTACAGATCTCCTGGCTGTGTTCCACAACTTAACTCAAAGTGCCACTGGAGTATAGTGGTTTGCCTGACTTCATATCTGTTGAATTCCCAGTGCCTAAAGCAGTATCTGGCATGTAGTAGGTGATCGATAGATATTATTCAGCAAAGGAGTATCTTAATGCCTTAGATTTCTGAAAATTCACATACCCTGGCAGAGGATGGGGGGTGCCACCTGTTAGCAATAGTTCTAGGTAATAATGAAAACATTTTCCCTTTCAACTGGGGAAGTGGGGCTTGTAGAGTGGGGCTTGTGGAGATGGTAAGGAGTATGGCATGATGAGCCCCGGGGTGGGGGGGGAGCAGGGAGGAACAGAATTTAATGCATCATGTTGCCAAACATCCTGTAGGCACAGGGGTTGTAGGGTCATGAAGCAGATGGAGGGCCTAAGCAGATTGGGAGTTTCTAATTTACCACTAATCAATTGCCTCAATTTGTGAGACTCATTTTTTTCCTATTCAAAAATATGAGTAATGAGGTGATCCTACTTACTATACGAAGTTATAGGGATCTAGTGGGGGGAAAATGTTAAATGTCTTGGAGCTGTATATCTCCATGGAGATGCAAGATTTGATTTGGGTATTACCTATAAGTACCACTCAAAGTGGGGAGGGTGTAAAATGTTTGCGTCACGTCATTAAAATCACCTGGGGAGTAACTGGGCATTCCCAAGTCCTCTGCCCATGTCCAGGCCCGTTCCAAATAGACAGTGATTGAGGTTATTTTAGATCCCAAGAGGGCCCGTGGCTGTGGGCCACACTTGATCAACAGAAAGCGATCTACAAGCATAATCTCTACTTACTCTTCTTGCATCTAAAAATTCTGTAATTTCTTCTGTTCTATTCAGAAGGTAAAGGAACATGAGCTCAGTTTTGTCACATGTGTATTAAACAAGTGGGCACAATTAGGAAAGATCCCTCACTGATTCCCACCCCCCTCCCCAACTCTGACTTTCCAAAGATCTTGCTGACCAAAAATGCATATCCTCTCTCAGCCACAAAGTAAGGAAATTAAAGGAGTTCAACGACCTGTAAAAATTAGAAATAAAAAACTAGAGCGAGGCCACAGGGGCGTCTGAGCCTTCAGAGGAGGATTCTGACATGGTCTGGTTAAACTAGCTGGCTGTGAACCTCAGAATAATGGGGAGAGTTCCTTGGCTCCAAGTCAGCTGATATCATTAGGCTGCGGTGTACTCTCCTAACTCATCCATTGGAAAGAGGCTTCCTACCCATTGCAGAGCACAAATGTTTATTATTACTGGCAAAAAATATTTCAGTTAAATGTCACGGTGAAATGAGGGAGACAGAAGTTGAGATTTATAGGAAATAATTTCAGCACATTGATTTTTTTTCATTAAAAAAAAAATCTCTTCTCATGGAATTTTTCTTTAAAACCTCCGTTGGAATTCTCAGATTGCAGGCCAAGCACTTAAGCTTGAAATGCTATTATTGGGAACCAGCAGTTAGTGTAAAGGCTATGTCGCTGGACTCCCACGTAGTCGACCGCGGTTCGCGTCCCGGACCCGGTGGCTTAAAACTCACGCTGGGCGCGTGTGCGTGCGTGCCCAGGATCCCGAGAGGAGAATGGAGGAGAAGGGATTGCGGCGTGACCATCCCCCCTGGGGGGTGATTTCTCGCTTTCTGACTCTAATGTCTCTCTCTGTCTGTCTGGCGAGCGCACGCGCCCTATAGTGAAAATCTCTCCAAAAAAAAAAAAAAATTAAAAAAAAAAAAAGAAATGCTATTATTTAGCTGAGACCTATTTGGTAAACACCTATGGGGAAGTTATATTTCTTTCTATCCCAACATACTTGTATTCTAGCGTTTCCATATGACCCTTGTTCTGAAGGGCCTACAGTTATTGGGGTTGATGTTCTCCCAATATCTGACAAAAAAAAAAAAGTTTCATTTGAACTGTAGGTATGTAGAATTTGGCAGGCAAAAGGAGACATGGGTGGGGGCAGCAGGTGGCATGGTGGTTAAGGCACTGAACTCCCATATAGTCAACTGCAGTTTGGGTCCCGGGCCTGGAGGCTTGCTTTCTCACTTTTTTTTCCTCTCTCTTGCCAAATTAAAGATAACAATAAATAAAATTAGACAAGTAACTCTTAAAAAAAAAAAAAAAGCGCGAGAGAGATACATAGGTTGCCCAAATTAAAAATAACCCTAACATTACTGTCTGTAGTCCTATTACAACTGTGATGAAAGATAGTAGAGATTTGGGGCATGGGATGCCCAACAATACCAAAACCACCTCAATTGGAAGGTCTACTCTATTATGAGACATTTCTCTTCCTTGCTTCAATTGACTTTCTATAAGTAGCCCCTTCTCAGGACAGTTCACGGCACCTAATCTTGTTGGGAGGCCAGGAAGTTTTGCTAGACTCTAGTTTAATTAAATCTAGATCTCATGGGATCTCCTTAAAGAAAATAGGAGATAAAGTGAACCTAGAACATCGTGTAGTGCTTGAACACCAGTGTGGATATGACAGGAACGAAGGGCTCCCACTGGCCAATCTTAGACAATTTGAGCACCCAAAAGAATAATGATAGCGAATTATAACATACTGTACTTTAAAAAACAACCTAGTGGGATCAGCAGATGGCATAATGATTATGTTGCTGGACTGTGGTTCGAGTCTTGGACCCAGAAGCTTGAAACTCACACCAGGGGGTGTGTACATGCATGTCCAAGAACCCAAGAAGAGAATGGAGGAGAAGGAATTGCAGCATAGCCATCCTCCTGAGGAGTGATTTCTTGCTTTCTGTCTCTCCAGTGAGTGCATGTGCCCCATAACAAACATCTCTCAAAAACCCTAAAAAACTAAAAGTACATGGTCCCCTTAAAAAATAGGTGCAGAGGGGAAAATAACTTTTCTTTATGTAAGAATACCAATAAATGGAAGGAATTACATAATTAGGAAAATTATAACTAGTAATTAATATTTGATTCAGCAAGGATCAGCAGTGAGTGCTAAAACCAGAATGAAATTTGTTGGGGAACAAGCTGCTCAAGTAGTTTTCAAATATCTCCCTACAGATTGCTTATCGTGGCAAGATCTCTTTGCCATGGAGAGGGATGACGAAGTAGCCAGATAATCAAACTTAACATCACAAAGGATGTTTTGTGGCTCTTGAGGTTTGACACAGTGGCGTACTAGGCACCATCTATCCTTGCTAAACTATCTCACGTGGATCCAATCATGAGGAAACAGTTGGCTGTGTCTGTGGTCCAGATTGTGGAACACAGTGCTGGACAATGAGTCCAGACAACAAAGATGTCATTGCCAAAAATGTACTGTGGCAGGGGATAGTTCTAGATTAAAGGAGACTAAGTAAGCGTGATGACTAAATGCAGTGTGTCATCTTTCATTGGATTGTGGATACCCCCAAATAAATGATAAAGGATGTATTGGGAATGATTGGGTACAGTTGAATAAGAACTAATTATTGATATTTTTAGGTGTGGTATTGGTATATTGGTTATTTAGGAAAATGCTTTTTCTTAGAAGATACGTGCTAAAGTATTTAGGGATAAAGCGTCATGGTGCCTGTGGCTTATATTCCCAGGGTTCAGAGTAAAGTTATAGGTAGCTGATGGGTAGCTAGACCAAGCAAATGTGGCAAAGTATCAATTGGTGAATCTAGGCAGAGGGACTATAAATATTTATTGCATCATGATTTTTTTTTTAAATTAAAAATTTTTCAAAATAAAAATTTGGGTTGGGGAAATTCTCAAAACATGAAAGTATGAGTACATGTCAAGGTAGTACAGAGATATTCATTTACGTTTTCATTGTGAAATGCTTGTCATTTGTTCATTGACATTACCTCTCTGTAGCGGGGAAAGGAATAAAAATGACTATCTACAGAAATTATATGAAGTAGGCCAGCAGGGGGTATAGAGGCTAGGGTGCTAGATCCCAGCACTCCAGTGGGAATCCCAGACCCAGTGTCTTGAAAATCACTCCAGGCACGTGTGTGCATGTGCCCCAAGTCCTGAGAGGAGACTGGAGGAGAAGGGATTATAGTGTGTCCACTCCTTCAAAGAGTAATTTCTTACTTCCCACCCCTTTCAGGAGAGCGCATGCACCCTAGAGCAAAAACTAAAACGAAATGGAGCTAGATAGAGAGAACTGACTAAGTACTGAAATAACTGACAAATTGAAGACTAAAATATAAAATTGTTCCTTAGTCCTCTATATGCCCCTATCTATCCCTTTACCATAAATCTCAAGGAATAAGATTCTGAAATAGGTATGGAAGCCCCTTTGGCTTAACCAAATGACTACTTTAAAAGTCCAAATAATTAAATTCAATTAGTTAAAAATTCTACTGGACTTACAGATAGCTGCAGTGTGTTTAAAATGAGCAATTGGGGCCTTTTAATATTTCTAGATTTGACTTGGAAGTGATTCATCATGTATTATAACTCATCATATTATTTCCCTAGTTATCAGAAGCACTAATACTTTAGACCTGTATAAAATGAGATGGGCCATAAACAAAAACTGACAGCACATGAAAACAACACATTCCATCCCACGGGTCCTCCATTGTGCCCGTGTTTAGTTAGCAGCATTGCTCCTCTACTGTGGTCATACCTGAGACGATGAAAGATTCTCTCCATCGTGGGAGCGATAGTGACTGGACACCATTGGAGTAACTCCCTTTATAGCCAGACTGTCCAGCAACTTTCCGAACCAGTATTTTACCTCCGGAATTACTGATCACACCACTAGGAAGAGAAACAATTTTAAAGAAAAGAGCAGGATATTGTTCGATGTGATCCACAGGCCATAAAACCAGCCTCCATTTTTAGTCAGACATACATGAGAAAGCAAGATTAAGGAAATGTTGGCTTTGACCTGCAGCCCCCAAGAACGGTGTCTCTATCACTCACTGGGCATCTGACCTTCCAGGACCTGATTGTTTTGCCAGTAAGGGAATTTCTTTGCCAGCATGCCTCAGAATTTTTTCCCCTAATTATCATTATTTCCACTGAGTTTCTTCAGTAACGCCTCCTTCCTGACAATTTCTGATTTGGTTTTGTGACATCACAGGATGAATCCAGTTATTTTAAGGGTGTTACGAAATTATTAAAAGTAAATGATTCCATTTTGGGCTGGGGAGGGAAGGTGTACAGCTAAATTCTTTAAAAAGAGCCTCTACATGATAGGCAATTGTTTCTTTAATTCCTGGGCTTTTGCAAGATTTTAGATCCAAATGTGATGGTGTCTGACACGTGCATCTTTCCTTCTGTGTTGAAGAAGAGCTCTACTTCTGTCCTGAGTTGCACTTTCCCATGGTCATTTCTTTGCCCCAGAGCCTAACGTGGGTATCTGTAATTTATGACACAAGCTAAAAACATACATTGACGTGTTTCCATCAACACCTTTGCTTTCCTGCAATAATGAGAATTGCCATTTCTTCCTCTCCTGCCTTTGTGGTGAGTCAGCAACTTTCAGCACTCAACTTCCCAATGGTCCAGAAGGGAGGAAGGTGGTAATCATACTGGATATGTAAAACACTGAATTGTTTTGAAATTCTCACATATGATATCTCACTGGATCCTGCTAGCAAACCTGTGAGTTATGTTGTGGAGAGAAGGTTGCTGTTCCCATTCCACAGAAAGAGGCCACGGGAGATTGACTTGCTTAAGATTTCGTAACTATTTTGTAAATTGCAAGAGGGACTTGAACCCAGGTCTAACTGACCTAAAACCTAGGTTGGTTCCTGTGGTCACAGGTACCTCCCAATGTCAACTCTTCCTCACTCTCTCACGTCTTTACTCTCCTTTCTTCTCTCCAATAATTGGTTACTTTACTGCTTCCAACTGTGGCCAGGTATGTCTCAGCTCGCCTGAAAAGTCACATCATTCCCACGTCTGTGGTTCTCATTATGCTGCTGGCTTACTCTGGGACACCTAGTTTCCACTTCTGCCTGACCAGGCCTGCACAGTGTTCAAGGTGTAGCTGCGTTTCCAACACCACCTTTCCACACAGCTTCAGACATGATTTTGCTACTCTTTATCCCACTTAGAACCTTGTTTTCACAACTTGAACTGATTTTTGTTCTGTCTTATAGTACTTTTCCATTCAAAAGATGTGTCATGACTTTTCCAGTGACCCAATACTTCCTAAAAATCTCTGGAGTTAATTTTGTCTCTCAACTAAATGGAAGATTTTTTTAATGGAAAGGACAATATCTTATGCCTCCGTGAAAGAAAGCCTGTCAGTGGTAATGTGGGTGCCACTTATACCAGCTTGTGAAGACCAGTTGTTAAAAGATTCAGGGGGACCAGCAGATGGTGTAATGGTTATGCTGCTGGACTCCCATGTAGTTGACCATGGTTCAAGTCCCAGACTCAACAGCGTAAAGCTCACACTAGGTGTGAGTGCATATGCGCCCAAGATTCTGAGAGGAGAATGGAGGAGAAGGGGTTGTAGTATGGCCACCCCTCCAGGGAGTGATTTCTTGCTTTTTGTCTCTCTGGTGAGCACACGCACCCTATAGCAAAAATATCTTTAAAAAAAAAAAAAAAGTTCAGGATTTAAGAGCTGGTTTTTCCTTCTCTTCTCCTTATGGAACTTCATTTATTATAAATTTGCTTAATGGTACATCATAGGTACATAAACTTTCTTCATTCTTTTTGTTTTTGTCTGACTAGGCTATTTCAACAGACCTGTCTTCAAGTCCAGAAGTTCTTTACTTGATCAAATCTGTTAAAGCTCTCAATTTTTTTTTAATTTTAAAGAATCATTTATTCATTTATTTTAATTTGACCAGACACACACACACACACACAGAGGGAAAGTGAGAAAGCAAGCCTCCAGGTTCAAGAATCGAACACGATCTGCCATGTGGGAGTCCAGAGCCCTTAACCACCACACCACCTGCTGGCCCCTCAGTTTTTTTAAATTTATTTTTTAAAAATAATTTACTATAGGGCACCTGCGCTCACTGGACGGGGAGAGATAGCACCCCCTTGGGGAGATGGCCATGCTGTAACCCCTTCTCCAGCCTCTTCTTGGGATTTAGGCATGCATGTACCATGTGCCTGGTGTGTGTTTTAAGCTGCTGGTTCTGGGACTTGAACCACATAGTCAGCTATGTGGGATCCAGGTGCCTTGGCTGGCCTGCTCTCAGCTGTATTTTTAAATTTCTTTGATTGCATTCTTCAGCTCCAAGATTTCTGTTTGGTTCTTTTTTATATGCTCTCTTTCCTTAATATCTCGTTCAGATCACATATTGTTTCCCTAATTTTACTAAATTGTCTATCTGTATTCTCTTGTATTTTGCTGAGTTTCCTTATGATCGTTTTTAATTCCTTTTAAAGCCTTTTTATAGATTTTCTTCTCTTTGGGGTTTGTTGCTGGATAATTATCATGTCCTTTGGGGTGTCAGGTTACCTCGCTTTTTCATGCTTCTTACATCACTGCAGTATTTAGCATCTGATGGAACAGTTGCCTCTACCTACTACATAGGATGGCTTTTGTGTTGAAAGACTTTCTCCTGTAGGTGGGGCCTGTTGCTTGGGTAGGGTGAGTTGCCTTTGCTTCCAGGTAGTAGTAGAGTAGTCTCTGTAGTTTCTTCGGTTGTAATCAGCATCAGTCCCACCTGCGAATGCCTCAGTGGCCTAGGGTACAGGGGCTTATGAGGCTGGCCTGCAGACTGGGACATGATCTCTAAAGGCTGGGTGTGTTCGTGGGTAGGTAGCATCATTCTGGCACTTCTGAACGTGACATGCAGGTGGGGGACAGGTGGCCCAGCTCTTTCCACCAGTGTCACACAGATGTGGGTGGGGTCATTCACCCAGCTGCTCTCATGAGATGCAGTGAGAGCAGGATTCCTCCGGTGGCCTCTCAAATGGGCAGCTGTGAGTGAGGTTGCTCACCTGGCTGTTTCTACTAGAAAGGGTGGTGGACAGCAGCTCAGGGCAGCACATGGCTGTGGGTGGGTCACTTGCCTGACTGCTCTTGTGAGACATGGTGGAGGGAGGGAAGGTGGTCTGGTGGCTCACAGAGTGGGGAGCTGTGAGCAAGGCTGCTCACCTACCTGCTAGATGTCACGAGAACGTTCTGTGCTGCTGCAGCCTAGGTAGGTGAGAATATAGCATGCCTGAAGTCTTCTCCTGGGGCAATGCAGTGGCATGGAGCCCACTGCTGCTCTCCAAACTGGGCTTGGAGCCTGTGAGGGCTGCAGGATTGTCCTGCAGTGAAGACTTCTGGTGCCCAAGCTTTTAGTGGGAGATAATGGAGGTCTTTTCCTTACACTATTCCTGCCTCAAGAAGTCCCTTTTGGCTCCAAGCCAATTTCCACTGGGGAGATGGGGCAGCAGATGCAAGGTGCTTTGCTCTCCGTTCTGCAGGGTAGTCCTGAGTCCCCACGCTCCACAGCATTTCCATGCATCCCCGCTGCACTCCAGTTCTCTGTCCAACACTTCAGATGACTATTAGGGGCTTACTCTTTGTTTTGGTGGAAGGAAAGTGTATTAGGCACCTTTAGTTAGCCCTGTTGCTGGAAGTCTCCCAAATCTTGTTTTATGAACATTCAAAGGTTCCCCCCACCACACACATCCTCATCCATATTTTCCCCACCAAGTTCTTACATTCAAGCCAAGCCCTGACAGTGCAGAGCCCCGTACCTTCAATGGCTTTCTTGTTTTCTCCTTGTGTATTTGTTGTTAAGCCTTTCCTGATTCTGACTGTTGTAAAGTCTACACTCTGGAGTCCTTACATTGTTTACTCGGCAGTGCTGGGACTCCCCAGGTCTTACATAAAGTTCTTACATAGATATATCATCTGCTTTCTGGGCTAGAAGTCAAGGAACAGGAGTTTTAATCCTGAATATGCATCTAAGTAGCAACTAAATTAACTTCCCTGGGCCTCAGTGTCTCTTCTAACAAATGGGACTGCCAACAGCAGGATAAAATGCAGGATGGTCAGTTGCGTTTCCATAGTTTTGCTTGCTAACTACGGCAGTCCCACACCCTGACTGCTCGTTACTCACGTAGCTCAGAGCTACCCACCTGTGTACTGCAGCACCACACACGCTGGAGTAGGACGCATACACGTCCGTACCGTACACATGGTATTTGGAGTCCTGGCATCCTGCAGGGCATTTCACAATGAACTCAGGATCGATGATCTTTCCAGCCTTCACATCACAGTTGATCTGAGGCGCAGCTGGGAATACAAACGAAGGTCAAAATTGTACCAAGTGGTGTTGGCTTATATGTGGGGGTGACTTAGGTCGCAACTGTTCACGTAGTTAATCCCTAAAAGCCTGAGCTAACCTTGTATCCCTTTCATCTAATGAAGGAAGGATGAAATTAGGACATTCCTTAGGTCAAAGGAACAACTACCGACCGACCGTGTGTTGCATTTAACCTGCTGAGAGCAAAGACAGAAGCCTGATGACTGCTGCCTTGGGTGGTCAATGAATGAGGCTAAGAACTCCGGGAGAAGAAGTGGTCAGACACAGAATCTTCAGATAGTGGCCGGGAAGTAAGGGGCTTTTAGAGGCTTTGTAACTAGCCCAGGAAAAGGGAAAACTCTCAGACATCCTGACAGGAGGAAGAAAAAGTATTCTAGGAAGGATAAACAAGGGAGCCTAGGCCTCGGAGTTGGGAATGAGGACAAGGTCAGCTTGCTGGGCTGAAGATAGTGGAGTTTTAGGACTAGGTCACGCTAAGGAGGCTTGAGTGCTAGTGTTTTGTGCAATGGAAGACTTTGGACAGAGATATCGAATGAAAGTGATCTTTCACCTTGGTCTTAAAGGATCCCCCAGCCTGGGTACTGGATATGGTGGGAGTGATCATTTCTCATTTGCCTCAATACTTGGTGCAAAGCTTGGAAACCTCCTTGTGGAGCACCCAGGGGAAACTCATTCTTTCTTCTCCACTTTTTAGCATTGTTACTGTTATTGCCAGGCTAGGACTGTTCAGTAGGCAAGTCTTCTGAGGTTGAAAGCTTGCCGGAAGTTGGGAAGGGTTTGCTCTAGTGACAGTATTTATCTAGAAGAGAACAGGGCTGCATCTTCCCACTGAAGATATTCTCTCAGTTTCTGAAGAGAAAGGTCCCCTACATGACACTTTGCTGGTACCCTCCAATCTGGAAATGTATTCAGTTATAGGACTCATTCTTCTGAAAAGAATCTGAAACAGCACTGTACAAAGAGCAGGGAAGCTCGGGAGAGACCCAAGAGGAGGGATGGTTGACAGAAATGGGTCATTTGGCCATAAGAAGGCAAGACCTTGGAGGCAAAGTGATAGTTGTCCTCACAGGTCAAGCTATGAGCTATGGTACAGAGAGCTGAGCTAGACCTTAAAGGGTAGAGTTTCTCCAGTGGTAAATTTTGCCTAAATGAGCTTTCTAGGAATTGACGTGGCCCTGAAAGGAATGGACTGTCCTATGAAGCAGTGACTGGACGGTTGGTGGAAGTATGTGAGCAGAGACTGAGCAGCTGAAGCAGGGATGTCTACTCTGAGTGGGGATGGAAATAAAGCCCCGCCCAGTGCTGAGTCTGTGATTACACACGGATCCAGGGACTCTGCCAGGCCACCCACTCTCACTGGGTTACTGAGATGGTCTTAGAGTTGTTAATGGCTTCCAGCTGTATCCAAAAAGCATACTTGTTTGTGTTTTTTAACCCTGATGTACCTGAATGAAGCAGAGTTGAGTTTCATTCAGGCTGGAGACAGAACTGACGTTAGAACTTCTGCTCTTTTCTTAAACACCCCTCCCAAACAATCCCTTGCCTCTCAGCGCCAGGCCAGTAAGGAACTCCTGGGAATGCAGGGGCCTAGTTTGATCACAGGCTTAAACAACCGGTGGTCAACATTAAGAATCAGAGCACTGTGTTTAAAGAGTTTTGTGGTTTCATTCTCCCCATCAGAGATGGTCTCCTCACCAAAGTTACTCTCTTTACCTTTCATTCTTTTAAACTCTGATACTCAAGGTTGTGTTTACTATTTTGAGTTTAGAGTTTTTTTTTGTTTGTTTGTTTGTTTTGGGTATTTGTTTTCTTGTCTTTTACAAAAAAAAATTAGGGGTGCTGAAGAGGCCACTGTAGTCTCTCCTTAAATTGGTTAATTATTTAATCGCTGGCATAACTGAATATGTTCTCTCCTCTTTCCACAGATCATGTCTCTGCTCCCAAATGCATCTCCTCCCTTAGAGGGAAGGAAAATGAAAGGTTCTTAGTTCTTCAGAATAAGAGGTAGCAAGGTCTTTGAACTGGGGTTAGCTTTTTTTTTTTTTTTTTTTTTTTTTTTTTTTTTTGATATTTACAGAAGGTATATGAACTCACCAGAGAGAGACAGAGAAAGGAAGAAAGCACCCTCAATGGGATGTGGTCAAGTTGTAATCCCTTCTCCATTCTATTGGGATTTTGAACATGGACACACTTAATATGTTTCTCAAGCTGCTGGAGCTGGGATTCAAACCATGTGGGATTCAAACCATGTGGGATCCATCTCCCTTAATCATTAGGCTACAGGGCTGGCCCTGGGTTTGGACTTTGATGCCACTTTGACATTATGAGATTTTGGTTCTCCTGGCCAGCCAACTAAATCTCTTGGGGTTGAGTAAATGAGGCTATGTCTAGAAGTCTATTGCATGAGTATCATACAATAATCAAACCTGTTGAGAGACTATAGCTGCAAGTGATGGCATTTTCTATGAATCAGTTGGTTTAAAATTTAAATGCACAAGGAAAATGTCACATGGGAATATTTTCTTTCTAATCAGGTTCCCCCCCCCTTTGCGAGGCTTTTCATTTATTTGTTTTTTGTTTGTTTAATAAAGGTCTAGGAAGTACCTTAAACAAGATCTGTTTTGTCTGTACCCAACTTAATTAGCAAATTGGTAGATTAACTCATTAAATTCTCCCAGGGGAAAAAATGAAATCATGCCTATATACTCTTGTACTTTGGAAAAACAGGGAGAAACACCGAAGAGTGGCTAACAGTCAAATATTTGTTAAACCTGTACGGAAAACTAAAGTTGGAGAGAGTAAACTAATTACATTTTGAAGAATAATTGCCAAGATCATTGGAAAGTGTAATGTCTATGTCCAGCTGAAAAAATGTGCTTCCTTCTGGTAGTTCTTCTGTCAGTATGTGGAAACCCCGGTTTATTTCTGTACAGTTTTCTCCAACTATTTGCAAAGTAGTCTGTTTTCTTATAACCTTCAAAGAATCTTCCATCCATCTATTTAAGACTCAAATGAAATGCTTTATTTTTGCATTCTCTCTGAATGTTTTTGAATGTTTTCAATGCTCAGGCTTATGATTTCCTTTGTAAATTTTCTCTCCCTTTCATTGCTTAGGTTCATTTTCATATTTCCCTGCTCCCTTGTTCCCTTTGAGTTTTTCCCAAAAGTGCAAAATTTAAATGCAAAAGGGGCCATGTCAAAATTAAAGCAGCTCAAAGATCAGTCTTAGGTCTGGAGGGAGCAGGAAGACATTTGGCAAATGCCAGAACAGAGAGTCAGAAGGGATGCGGAGTCCTGCCGTCACCCTCAGGTGAGGACTTATTTCTAAGTTCTAGAAAAGTGTGTTCCCAGAACATTTGGAGAGAATAAGATGAAAGCTTCTTTCATTCCTTTCTGAGTGGACAATTGATGGGGGCAGTGAGTGAAATCCCAAGTGAAGTCATAGAGATCCTGGGGGTGCTCAGACCTGCTTCAGTGGAACCTTTGCACAGAAACTCACTTCTTGGCCATCTGCTGTGTTTCCTCTTTGTGCCCACCCCCTACCCCAATACACCCAGGGTGAGTCCCTAAGGAGATTTGCCTTCTCATAGTCATGTGAATTTCATGTCAGAGCTCACACAAGAGCATGTCAGTATGTGCCAAAGATTCCTTCCCAGAAGCCCTTGGAACCAGTCCCAGGGAAAAGAGAACTGTTTGTAAACTGGATGGGGTTACCTTAAATGCTAGTCACTGAGGTACATGTGTCCACTGCATTAATCTCGCTGGGGTCCTGGGCAAAAAAGATCATATCTCAGAACAGAAAATTGGTCTTGTCTGAGCCACAATTATAACGTAAAACTGGAATTTCGAGGCAAAACTGCAAATGCTTGCACTGTGGGTTGGATCTCCTACTTTGATAACAGTGATTATTGGGTAAAGTCACAAAAAACAAGCCAATTATGTATTAGCAGGCCACATCAAACTGTATATTCCTTATTTTGCCATTTATCTTTTCAATGATCCCAGAAAAACCACTCTGCTTCTGGAAAACAAATTTTCTGATCAATTAGAGAAGGCCATTGTAAGCTTGCCTTGTGTCTATTGATGAAGAATTATTATAAGACTAAAAGTATGCAGGTGTAAAAAGTTTAGATATTAAACTTGATTTTGCTGGATTTTGCTACTCAACTAGAGTAAATTCTTAGTTTTTTTTTTTTTAAACAATGCAGAAATGGTGTCAGTTTAATGTAATAAAAATGACCATTAATTTAAAGATGATTGTGTCATCCTCTTTGATCTTGACATCCAATGACTAGGTCATGTCAATTCTTCCTTTGTAGTAATTTCTCTTGCAAAATTTTCTTTTCTATTTTTCTTAGTCTTTGACCATGTTGGGTCTTTGCTTAAAAAGCAATTACTTTTTTCTGCCTTTATGAAAAAAAAATCCCAACTAATTTCCTTTGTTTATTCCATGGACTTCTGGGCTTGCCAATACTGCTCCTGTTACTTTTTAAATTCCTTTCTTTCATGAGAGAACAAGAAAGACACACAGAGACAGACGGAAAGAAAGAGAAGAAAGTTCAGTGAGATCTCATGCCATATTCTTCCCTCCAGCCTTCCCAGACAACCAGGATCGTAGGCATGCACATGTGTGCCCAGTATGAACAGGTCAATCTGGGAACCAAACCTTGGTCTTCCACGTGGCTTGAGCATGACGGAGCACTGTGCTGCTGCTGCACTACTACAGCTGGCTTGTCCATGGCACTTTCTAGATGCAGGCATCTTCTCTACTTGGCCTGAGTCGTATCTCACACCTGGAACCACTTCTGCTTCCATCTGTTTAAATGCTACTACTTTTTCAAGGTTCTAGTTCTAGTTACATTTTCATTCATCTACTGGAATACAAAGTCCACAAGGACAAGGATTCATGTCTGTTTTACTCACTGCTATTCAATAAGAGTGTCTGCTGACTGAATAAAGGATGAAGCTA